AATTTTTTATATATTTGCTACTTCTCTTATTATTTTAGTTTTAGTAGTATTATATTATTCTCTTAAATAAATATCTAACACTATTTTTAAATTAAGACTTATTTGTATAATTTATTGATCATCTTTTCAAACCATTTTCTACAAGTTGGATATAAAAATATTGATATTGCCTAATATAAAAATAAAAAGATATTGATATTGTTTCTAAATTACCACAACCAAAGAACTTACTTGTATAATTTTTATAACCTAGATTTTTGTAATATCATTATTATACATAATGCCTATACTTCATGATTGAAGCTCTTTCTGAAAATTCCTATTCCAAAACCATACTTGTATTTAAACTTTTCACAGAATTTTACATTTGATTATGACTCTATAGTATTATAGTAACAAAGTTAAAAATATGCCACCAGCTTGACTTGAACTATTAATATTATCTATAAAATTTGAAAGTTTAACCAATAAACTATGAGGCTTAAACCTCAAATATAATTTTAAATCAAATTAATTTAAATATTTAATAAATTAAAAATCTGATTCCAATCTTTAATAAATGTATAAGTATTATTTTGAAGCAAATATAAAAATTTAAACATTTTGTCTAAAACAAAAAAGTTCTAAAATTAGATTAAAGTAAATAAATCTAGTTTTAGAATATTTGTTATAAATAAATACTGTATAGTATTTACTATTTGAAAAATTAAGAATTTAGATTTATTTTTAAAAATTTAAAATAGTCTGAAAACTAAGTACTATATTTAACACTTTTTTAATAGTATGCATTATGCTTAAAAATTGTTATTTTAAACAGATTTCAAATATCAATTACATATTTTTTTTATTTTTAATTATGCACAAAATCCAAGTTTACTTGAATTATCTGTTTAAACAGATTTCAAATACCATATAATTGCTTTTTTTTATTAGTTGTTCCTGTACTATTGTTATAACAAAATTTAAAACTGTGTTATCTTTGAAAATTACCACCTTTAGCAGGCTTCAGAATATTACTCAAATGCTTTATTTTTCAGTATGTTTGTATTTACTCCTTTTTTATAACAAAATTCAAGATTATATCATTTTGAATTTCTATTTTTACAAATTTTTTATCAATTAAATTGTTTATCTAAATTTCAGTACTAGTAGATTTCAATATCTAGTAGATTTCAATATCAATTAAATGTATTTTTTTTTATCTTTGAATATTTCTACACTTTTTTATAGCAAGATTCAATATTAAGTTGTCCAAACCAATTAGAGTGCAGAAACTTGACAATTTGATCAATTAAAACAAATCGAAATAATATTTAACCGTCCGTAATGCTAGTTAAAATCCATCCATGCCCTAATACCTATAAAAGGTGCAAATCAAACCTCTTAATAATCGGCATAAATAAGATTTTAGGCGTAATGTAAAAGTTACACCACTTCTGCGCTTTTCAGTAAAAAAAAAAAAAAAATTCATACAAAATTTGATATAAACCAAGCCTTGTTGCCTAAAATAATGTTTTATTATTTTTTAAAAAAAATTGCACAAGTTCTATTGTTTGATGAAATCTGATTGATGTCGATCATACGAAAAGGGGTAGCTACGGGTAGAGTTTGAAACCGATTTTATTTTTAGCATGTTAAAACTGGTTTTAATATATGACTTTAGTCATAATCATCGTCCGTCGGCGTCGTATCACTGCATTCTGGATCAACTTAGCTTTTTACTTCGGACATTATACAACATAAAATACGAGCGTGGCTAACGAGAATTTTCGGAATATAGTTTATTATATATTAATATATTTAAATTTAAGATAATAACCGATTAAGTCGTATCAAATTATCGACTCGGCGAGGTTTGAAAGTTTTTAATCACTACTCAAACTTACATTTTTATCATTTAGAAGCAGCGAATTCACCTGCTTTACCAGTCTATAGAGAGATAATAGTCAGTCAACCTATTTTATAAAAAGTTGCATGCGATTACATCAACAGAAATATAGTAAGACAGACCTGAAGCAATCCAATGATCAAACCAAACAATCCAAGGACGCTTCCAAAAATTTCAACAACAAGGATTTTTACAAATAACGTTGGATCTTGCGCATCAGCCAACGCAGCTGTACTTCCTGTGATACCTACTGCAATCCCACAGAACAAATTGCAAAATCCTACCGTTATACCACCCCAAAAGAGAGCGTATCCTATTCGAATAAAAAATTATTGTAAATAATCATAACTCTAATAAATATATGGTAATTAAATGAATTAATTACCTGTAAAATAATTTGACGGTGTGTACAGATCTTTTGGATCAATGTTTTGTAGTTTTGCAGAAAAAACAATGGCCATGATCACACCGTAGATAGCAACTACTTCACAAAAAATGATGCTACATTTTTTAAATAGAAAGATATAAATTTGTAAACAAGCTGACTTAGAAAGGTAATATTCATATTCTTATTTACCTTATAAGATTTTTAGTCTTAATCCTTGGTGCTTTAACGGCACCGCCGAGAATACTTGACCCTGTAATGAAAATACCCCTGAAATAAGAAATAAAAAAAATAAAAGTTGCAAGCTTTACGTTATTTCATGTAACAAGATATTCGTGAATAAGTTAAATAGAAACACGAAAAATTTTACCATGCAGCCCCGACAACACTAAGACCTATACAAAGGGCTATTCCAAGTAATGCCCATAGATAAGGACTGGTAACTAAGATACCTAAGATAATCATCTGTAATAATTGTGCGAAATAGGATGATGCTAAATTTTGACTTATTTTAATAAGCATCTCGGTTATTAAATCCGATTGGTCAGTTTTCACATAAATTTGAAGATTGTTACACACTCAATCAAATTTCTAACCTTAGATATCTAATCCATATTACACGACGTGATAATTTAGAACTTTATTAGTTGAAGTTATATAACATTAGTGAATTTTCACATTGAGTGATATCAGTTAAATTGGACTATTAAAATTAAGTGATAATGATTTATAAATACGTATCGGTATTATGCGGCTTCATGATCAGTAAGCAATTTTATAACTAAGAAAAATTAAATACAATGACGATTTATAATTGTTATGCCATATTACCATTAATTTTTAATATGTAAATGAATAATATTCCTTAATTCGTCAATAATGCGGGCCAATCAAAAAATCGAGGTAAAATTTTGGTTCATTGCTATCTCCCGATCGAATCTAAATTGGTTTTAACATAACTGGATATATATAAATTGGTTTTAATTCAACCTGTTATAAATTGGATTTATATTTTTACATATGCCAAGATTGGCTACGTAGTCACAAAAAAGTAGAAGATAATTATAAAATTAGAAAGTGATAATAAAATATGGTTTTACAATACGCTGTTTGGTTTTTTCAATATTATTTAAAGCTTTGTAAACATATATATATAAGACTGCAATAAGTACAGTCGACTCTCTCTAAGTGCAGCTCGCCGGGGCTTAGAAAATTTTCTTAAGCAAAAAAAATAATCCTGTAGAGATTATATGTTTATTATAACCTTATATAGCTTGGGATCGAAGCTAAATCTGCAATTTAGAGAGAATTTAATATGGCCAGAACATGCATTTAGAAAGAGCCACTGTATTTTTAATATCTTACTTGTAGGCTATTTGGTACAAAATACACTATATATATAATCAGTGTTGTCAATTTTTTGTTCTATTGATAAAAATTATATTCTATTCTAAATTCTATTGTTCTATTCTATTGTTCTATTGTTCTATTTGTTTTTTGCTATATTAATATTAATTATAATCTAGTTGTCAATTTTTTGTTCTATTGATAAAAATTTTATTCTATTCTAAATTCTATTGCTCTATTCTATTGCTCTATTGTTCTATTCATCTATTGCTAACAACACTGTATATAATGTACAGTATCTGCTATAACAATCAAAAATAAAAATAAAAAAATTTTTTATTAAAATTTATTGCATATTTTTACTCATAATTTACTTTAAACCTATTTAAATTTATGTTAATAAACTATGATTTGGTCTTATAATCAAACTAAACTATATACATAGTAGTGAAATAATTTTACCACTATGGGGTAAAATTGGTAAAATTTGGTAGGATCAAACAACCAGATGTAAAATAATGTTAACATTACACCTGACCCTAATTTGGAAACAAATTTTGATCAATGCGTGGTAACGTTATCGTTTTAATAATAGAGATTAAAAAATCAAATAAGTATTATATCGTTATAGATTAATTAGAACGCTCAAGTTTAACTTTTACAATATTGACCATGGAAATTGAGTCATCAGAGTTAGTAAATTGAAACTATCTGGACGCCTTTGTAATTTTATTTTTTAACTATTTCATTTTCAACAGCATAATTCGACTGATTTTACAGTTTTTGAAAGAAAATAATCTTCCCAATAGTCATGCCGCCTTACAGGTTCGGAAATAAACCCAATTTTCTTTTTTGAAAATTAAAAATTAATTGCGAAATTATTATTGCATTTGCTTCGATTTCAGGAAGAATCCACGATCGCTCTCAATACAGTGGAATCTATGGAATCTTTCACCAATGAAATTATACAAGGGCATTGGGATATCGTGTTAAGAACAGTATCTAACCTGAAAATACCACAACGTAAATTGATTGATCTATATGAACAGGTTTAATAGCTCTTTTAGATCAATATATTTTGCAGTGTTAATACAAATATTAATAATTAATTTGATATCAGATTGTTTTAGAATTAATTGAAATGCGAGAGCTAAGTGCAGCTCGAACTTTACTAAGACAAACAGATCCCATGCAGTTTCTAAGAGATCATTTTTCGGAAAGATATTTACATCTAGAGCATTTGCTCTCGAGAACATGGTTTGATCCAAAGGAGGTAATTTCGATAATTTCGATAAATTGTGGTTTATTCACATTCCAATATCAATAATTAATTTACTATTTACATTTACATTTACATTTACATAGGCATATCAACCTGGCATGACAAAAGAAAAGAGACGCCAGATAATTGCTCAAGGTTTGTTATAAATTTGATTTGTTATCATTATTTTTTTTTTTTTAAAAAAAGAAGGGATTTATTTTTTATAAACCACACATAAGCACTCTCTAGCGAAGTGACAGTGGTTCCGCCATCTAGACTTCTTACCCTTCTTGGACAAGCCTTGAAATGGCAACAACATCAAGGATTGTTGCCCCCAGATACTGCCTTCGACCTTTTTCGTGGATCTGCACCAACCACGAAGGCAGAAGATGATGCAGTTCCTACAAAATGCTACGCTACAATTAAGGTTGAAATTATTACTTATACGTAAATGAATTATTAATATCATACTAAATAATCAAATATCTGTAAATAGTTTCCTAAGAAACATCATGCAGAGTCCACAACATTTTCACCTGATGGACAGTATTTAGTGACAGGTAATATGGATGGATTCATTGAAATATGGAATTTTTTAACTGGCAAACTTCGTAAAGATCTTAAATATCAAGTGGAGGTTCGTTTTAAATAATAATTTTATTGCTAGGTTTAAAATCTGATCATGATTAAAAATTATTAATAGTTCTTAGTCTCCGTATATATTGATATAGGATAATCCTATGCTGATGGAAGACCCAGTACTGTGCCTTAGTTTTAGTAGAGATAGTGAAATGCTGGTTTCTGGTGCACAAGATGGGAGTATAAAGGTGAGAAATTGTGCAAGAATATATTACTCTCGTTATCTCTTATTAAACCTTGTAAAACAATAATAATAAAAAACACGTATATTGTTTAGGTCTGGAAAGTACAAACAGGTCAATGTACTCGGCGCTTTTCTCCTGCACATAGTCAAGGTGTTACGTCTGTGTGTTTTAACCGTGATGGTAGTCAGGTTTTAAGCTCGAGTTTTGACCATACAGTCAGGTTTGTTGAATTATATTTTAATTGCATTATCACATAATATTAAAATCTTATTAATATATATTTAATCTTGGCTAGACTTCATGGTTTGAAATCTGGAAAAACGTTGAAAGAGTTTCGCGGTCACTCCTCTTTTGTTAACGATGCAATATTTTCATATGACATGTCAAGGGTGATCAGCGCAAGTAGCGATGGTACTGTAAAGGTCAGAATTTAACAACCTATTTCATAGATATTTGAGATTCGATACTATAATTATACCGTCTTAAAAAGCTAAAACAATGATAGATTTGGGACAGTAAATCAACTAGTTGCCTCCACACAATAACGCCACATGGCGGACAGGGAGCCACCGCAACTATTTCAGGTGGAATAACGGTTAATTGTGCTGTTCAAATGCCAAAGAATATGGATCAAATAATTGTTTGTAATAAAAGCCCTACAATTTACTTAGTAACTATGAGAGGACAGGTACGATTTTTATATAATAAACAACAGATTTTTTTATTTAAATATTTGTAATTGTAGGATTAATCACAAATATTGCATGCACGCTAGATTATTAAAACATTTACATCAGACAAGAAAACAGGTGGTGATTTCGTGAGTTGTACAGTTTCACCACAGGGCGATTTCATTTATTGTGCAGCAGAAGATTCAAATTTATATTGTTTTAATGTTCAAACTGGAAAAGCAACAGCTTTAAAGGTAAGTTTATGTTTTACAAGTAAGAAAAAATGAAACACAAGTTTACACCTACTTTTACTTATTCATTATAGTTATCTGATTCAGAAGTTATTGGAATTTCGCATCATCCATTTTCAAACATTTTGGCATCATATGCTGACGATGGAATTATATCTTTGTGGAAACCTTAAAACAAAAACTTTACAATTTTTGTTTACTATAGAGTTTAGAACCGGATTATAAGTAAACCGGGCAAACGGTTCAACCGGGTCAAAAATTTACAACTCGGGTGAATATGTAGCTTCTGATATTATTACACAGAAAACAAAATTTAACACATTATTATATTGTGAATAAACACCCTTTTTTCCTTACTAATTTATTTAAATGTTCAATCCTTGTTGCGAAAATTTTCCCTCGTATAAACCTTCATTATTATTTTCTTTGCTCGGTTAATATGTAATACACTGTGTTCGACACGTTCGATAGTATCTTGGGAATTCGTATCGCTGGTGTTCGGGTCATGTAACGTGATCGCGTTGCATGAATGGCGTGATCGTTGATAGAGGTTAATAAAATTAAGCCTAATATGTATATAGTACAGTACCATGCGTAACAAATAATTTAGATCAATTTCAATCAATTTTTTAAAATACAGTCGTCCCTCATATATGTCAACTTTAATATAATCCGACAAATCGGGAGATTTATATATTTAATGTTAGATGTCTAATATTACAGTATTGTTATTAGTTTAATACTATAATAGATAGGGTTTAGGCCTTTATGCTACTGGTAGTATATTTATTAAAAATTCTAAAAAATTATTTTTTAAAAAAAAATTATATATACAAAAATTTGATAATCGCTATAGTATAAATTTATTTAATTTTATAAATAATAAAACTATTGAGAAAATTTTTGCAATTTTACTATACTATATTCTTATTATAAACTTACTGGTAATTTGCTAAATTAGGATTGTCAAAATTTTAAAAAAACAAAGCTATAAAATTATTAATTTATAGTATACGTAACTTAACAAATTTAATATATTATTTAAGATAATTTCATTTATTAGCTCGTTCTAGTCTTGACAACAAACTTAGCATTAAAAATTACGCGTTCTAATTTATGATCTGACGATCTGATTGGTTTATCACCGTGATTGTTTTGATTTATGCCCCTATTTTGTTATTGGCTGTTGATCTGATCTACTTATTTAAGCTCGTTTTCAAATTTAAATTTTTTTTTCATTTTGCTTTTTTGTTTATATTGCTACTGATGTATTTGTTTTGTTTTTTTAAATTTTAGATTTATTTTTTTTGTCAACTCAGGACATTAATGAGTTTTTCATCGCTGTTCCCAAACCGTTCATTCGAGGAGGGATTCTCCTGGTCTTCGGTGGGCCGTTCTTGTATAGAATGAACCGTTCGTGGGGTGGTTATAACGGCCATACTGTTTTTCTAAAAACAGTAACTCGATGCATACGTCCTTTATAGGATACAGTTTTAGATTGTTATAAACCTAGTTTTGGATACACCTCTACGTGGTGACTAGGACGAGTAGGCTAAATTTATTAGCTGAAACTAAGTATCCAAGTGTCTTTTTTTTTTTTTTTTTTACAATATAAATAATATATAAATAATAAATAATAAATAATAGTAGTTTAATATCGTTATTAGTTTGCTGAAAAATGAAATATTATAATGTTAATTAAATTTTTAGTTTTCGCGTAACCGATTTTTTTTACAATGTAAATAATTAATAAAGAAATAATAAAGAATTATATATGTAAATAATAAAGAATAATAGTTTAATATATGAAATATCATAGTGTTAACTGAATTTTCAGGTTTTTGCGTATTTTTTTTTACAATGTATATAAATAATAATGAATAGTAGTTTAATATCGTTTTTAGTTTGCTGAAAAATGAAATATCGTAATGTTAACTGAATTTTCAAGTTTTCGCGTAATATAAAACTTCCAATTTAATATTATTTTATTATAAAATTGAGTCGTATACGCTATACGATTAAAATAATCTAAGATATATAACCAAATCTATTACATAACTAACGTATATACATAACTGATACAATTATAATAAGAATGTATTAATACCCTATAATACAACTTTCTCATCCGGTCGCAACTAGTAATAATTTTTCATTCAATAAAGAATGCCAACATACAAGCTTTCAATGCATTACTTCTGTTATCTTTACAACTTTTGACGACGACTATTCATAAAAGAATATACCACCATTTGCAACATCCGAAGCTACTGCAAAAATCTACCTTGCTCAGGTTCTGGTGAAAAGTTCAAAAATTAATGGAAAAGGCGTACTAAAAAAAAAAAATTTACAATTATTTATAAAAATTCGGTGCAAAAAAGATTGATAAATTATAAACTCACCCCCATCCACAGACTCTTTGAATTGGCGCTAATAGTCTCGAAAAACATCTCTCCATTATACTCGTTGATACTTCTGTGCTTCATGAGAAATCATTAACCTACCGGTTTTATTCACAGACTCTGCGACTCAACTTCCCATGGCAAAATTGACCTTAAATCAATTAGTTCACATAATAAACCTGGTATATTTTTCTCAGCCAATTGTATAGCCTTTTCCAGAATATATATTTGCGGCCCATATCCAACAAATGTAACATCTTTACTGGTTTTTAAGATTTCTGCTTTGCTTAAAGGCAATTCGTAATCACCAACCAGAACTTGTTATCACTTTTGTATAAACTAGGCAAACGGGATCCGGAGCGTCGCAAACAAATCTAATTATTTGCAAGATACTGTATTAATAAAAATTCTTATAGTGTAAGCGTATAACAATTATATACTTATCTTTATATATCTGTCCAATGAAAGCTAAAGGCTTTAACACTGTAAAATCGGTTCTTAGATGCACTTTGACCACTTTAGCACTATGAATTAGGTTAAGAGGAAATTTTGAAGCCTGATTATGATCGGTTGCAAACATTAATTGATTATAATCGATTGGCTATAATCGACGGTGGTAATCGATTCATAACGATAATCAATATAAATCTATATAATCGATGAAAATCCAATTAATCGACGGTGTGATGAGAATCGTTTAAAATCCTTAGATTTCACTTATTAGATCACAAAAATTTAAGTAGTTCTCATTACATCTACATTTCAAATCAGCTTATAAGACGCTATAAAAAATACATAAAACATTTAAAAAGTACACATAAAACTTCTAAAACTGATCTGTCCGGATTCTGATATCCATATCGATATTAAATGCGAAATTAATTAAAATCATGCTTATATTTATAAGCCACTTTTCTTCAAGTATTCGTTTTTGATCCTTGAACCTTTTTTAATACGGTATGTTGAAGTTTCTCAAAAGTAAAGTACTCAAAAATTTGATTTATTACTGCACTAAACTCATATATGGCATTTATTTCTATAATTAAACCACTATCGCGAATTTATTTTACTATGAGCGATTATACTGCATCATATATAAAACTTAAATTTAAAGTGTGATATGTCATATACTTCTAATTAACTGTAGATAAAAGTTAAATTTAAAGTGCGATATGTCATATACTACTATATAATTGAAATTTCAATACTGATCAATTGAATGATTGGAATTTTTTTGCTTATGCTCTTATCCTACACCCGGAACCCACCCGGAATTTTTTTATCGCCTATTGTCTGGCCTTAAGCTCCTCCGCTCTGCTCCAGAAATCAATAATTGGTGAAAATTATTGTAGATATAATTAATCCTATTTTAACGTAACTTTGTTATGAATATGTAAAAAAAATTGAAGTAATGCAATTCCTTTACAATATAGGCGACCCACATTATATAAATCGATTAATTTAATAATTGATTTTTTCGCCAAATGCTCTATTAAAAATAAGTGCTTATATTTGATATTATTAACGTACGTACTTAAATTAAAAATTTTAAATGCTTAATTAATATTAAATTTTATATTTATTAAATACATAATTAATATTAAATTTTATATCTATTAAGCATATATTTGTAATTCCTTAGATTAAATAGGCATAAATTAAGTAATTTCACTTATATACTTAGCAAATACTTAACAAGCACTATAACTAACATTGTGGTGTATTAATGGGGGTCATCTATACTATATTTGATTCGTTAAAATACCTTTAAAATCTTATTAACCGAAAATTTGAAAAAGTACATTATCCGAAGTGGTGCATACTTCTATGAGTTTTGACGACCAAGATTACATTCTAATGCTTTTTCAAGAATTAAGTCCCAATAAATTACTTTATAAGTTCTCTTGACGAGTATCTCAAATATCAAACTGGCCTAAATTAGGATAAGGATGTAGGTATAATTAGCCCAATTAGTGCCAATCAATTAATACCAACCAAACTGTCAGTATCTCATGAAACTTGGTTTTGGAATCCAGGTTTTCAAAAGCCAGGTTTTAATATTGGAATCTAAGATTTTAAATCATAATAGGGGTTCCAACTCCTAGTATAAACTATTTCAATTATTTTAATGTTAGAGATACACTAACATCAGGGGAATTCTCAGTGTATTGTGCCTTTTATATGAGTGCCGCCAAGGGAAAATCTGCAATCGGGCTTTCAATATTCAGTTTGTTTTCTGTGTGCCGTCTAGGGAAAATCTATCATCGGGTTTTAAATTATATTTTGTCAAAATATAATTGAAAGCTGATGATAGACTATTCCTAGATGGCACACAGAAAACAAACTGAACATTGAAAGCCCGATTGCAGGTTTTCCCTTGG